TGGGAGGGAAAAAGGAGCTAACCCTGTTTAACGCGAAGCCGGGCTTGGAACCCCTGATGCGTCGACCATTTCTGGCAACTTTCAGCGTCATTAAGCCGCTGCGCCACCGCATCCCCTCGACCAATCATTACTATATCAGTTATATAAATTTGCATATTAAATAAACAAATTACTATCATTATCATTAAATTTATTAGCACCACTTAACTGCCAAGTCATTCTTAAGTGGTGTACAGTGAAAAATTAGAAATAAACTAAAATCAAATCAAATAGAAACCAATCTAACAATAAGAAATATATGGAATTTCTATTGAATATAGATGTTTGAAAAATATTTGCACTTCTCCTTAAGATCGCATAAGGCTGGAGGTGTCGAAGATCAAGATGTAGCCATTTTGAAAATTCTGCTGTGGCATTACATTTTAGAAGACTAGTAAACCTTGACAATTAAGGGATTACAGGTAGACCTCGCTTAACGACTGCTCTGTTTAGCAGCCGTTCAAAGTTACTATGGTGCTGAAAGAGTAACTTTAAGACCAGTCCTCACGTGTATGACCATGCTTCCTGTGCTCATGTGATCACCATTTGTGTGCTTCACATTCGGCTTATGACAAGCAGAGTCAGTGGAGAAGCCTGCAGTGAAATTGCAAGTTGTAGTTACGTGATGTCTTGCTTAATGACCCATGGTGACTCGTTTAATGACCAAATGGGAAGTGACGATGTAAGTCCGGCATGGCCATGTGATGTTTTGCTTAGCGATGGAGTTGCTGGTCCCCATTGTGGTTGCTAAGCTAAGCAAGGACCAATGTGTATCATTTTTTCCCCTGTAATTAAATTGGAGTAATTGCTTCACGTTATAACAGATTTGAAATCTTATAATAATTTGGATGTCTTTGGTGTTGCTGTTTAGCCCCTCTGGATGCAGCTCTTTTTTTGGAAGCAAGTGGCTGCGAAAATACCTGTCACGGCTAAGCAGTTTCGGATTTTGAACCCAATTATCGTTAAGGAGACGGCTGTAGATATTCTCCAATACCCTGAACCTCAACCAAAATTCTGGGGCTGGAGTAAGGTGAGCCTATCTTATGATCTTATAATAGCACAGTGCTATTACAGAAGAAATACAGTGGAACCTTGGTTTACGAACTTAATTCGTTCCGTGACTCTGGTTGCACCCCGAATTGGTCACAACCCGAA